ATTGACCGACTTCCCCCCCCTCAAAATCCAGAAAAAGAGCACCCCCTTAAAGAACTTGGAATCATCATCATCATCATAACATCTTTGAATCGTTAGCATTCTTCCCTACCAAATCAATTTGGTTTCCTTCAATCACGATAATTTTAATGAGTAAATTCAACCACGATTTTTAACCAAAACAACTTCGGAGACCTCCTGGGTTTAGAATATGATTATACCTTCAAGTCTTCAACAACCTGTAAACCAATAAAGGTTACCCAAACCCTTCCAATTAACATGTATATACGTGATTTTACACAGATTTGCCAGGGTACAATCTTCAAATATGCCAATCGAATAATAAATACTCACCACAGCCAATTACATAATTTACATTTTCAAGGTCAAACAGCAATGCATATGATCACACTATTGAAAGCTTTACATATTGTATCAGAACAACAGACATAGTTAACCAGAGCATTTCTTTTAGCATTTGTGATTTGTAAATGCTGGCTTCTTATCATATGAACCACCTCTTCCGACTTTCCATTGTCTTGGCAAGCTCATTTGCCATTTCTGCAAAGCTTTGGGCCCCACTTTGTAGCTCTTCAGTGTTTCTGCTTATCCTCTGGTAGAAATGGCAAGAAAACTATATTAGAGGACATTAAATGCCGACTATTTCACTGAAAACTTACCAGCATGCAAGCTCATAGTGTACCAAGATACAAATAGGCCAGCCTTAAACTGGAAAATATGTTAAAACTAAAATACTCGGCCTATCCATTGTAATAGAAGACATGATGGTGTGTACAACTGTGCTGCAAATGGATCTGTTCAAATTGGATGTCTAGATCCGAATTTGATTCATTATCCATTGGATTTAGATATTGGATACCATACGTTAAAAATTATTAGAATATTATGTGCAATATATAAAATAAACAAAAATAAATTTGATACTGTATATCAGAAATAAAAAAAAAAACTTAGGCCCTGTTTGGTTCGCAGGAATAGGGGTCTGGAATCGGAATCGGAATGGGCTATTCCGATTCCAACTGTTTGGTTGGGCGGAATCAGAATTCCATTCCCATTCCTGCTGGAATGGCATTCCCCCATTTGAGGGAATGGCCATTCCCTGCCCCCTCCCTTGGGAATGAAATCTCATTCCTGCTGGTTTTAATTTCTATTCCCATTCCTGTCTGAACCAAACAAACTATGGGAATGGACCGATTCTGATTCCGGAGGATTTCCATTCTGATTCCGACTGCAAACCAAACGGACCCTTAAAAATAACTTTAATGAGATTCCAACCCAGTATAATCCCACAGCTTTTTAGTAAGCATACAACGTTCAAACCAAATTTACCAATAAATATTAATTTTATGTAGATATCAGAACTTAAATGTTCAAATATTATCAGTTTGGATTGGATCATAACAGATTGAATTAGATTAAATCCATATTTGGTCCAATTAAATGAATTGACTTTGAATTGCCWTAATTGGATTGGGTTTCTGGACAAATGGATAGCATTTGCACTCCTAGTCAAGAAGTCAGGATTCCTGGAGGTCTAGTATWCTTTGGTGCAAACAGAGGAAACTGGATCCTTAGTTATTGGTATTTCTGCTGCTAACTTCCACAAACTTTTATACAATAAAAAAACCTATTAATATTATTAGACTAATTTAAAAACATTATTAACAGAAAAAAGACAATATAATGGCCTTTATACTGGAAACTATGATAACTAATGTCTATTATCTTGTGGTTTCACCATATAATGCAGTAGTCCCAATGTTGGTTCCAGTTATCTGGGATCATTGTGGTTTCCCCATCCCCACTGGATACCCAGCCTCCCCAACCCGATCGGGTCAGGGATGAGACTGCTCTGGCAGGGGGACAGGGAATAATTGAGATACATGATCAGGGACTGGGACGAGGATGGGGATATTTTTAAAATATCATTTATATTTTAAAATTTGAAAATAGTTCTGTATAATTACAATAATGCCACTACATATATTGGACAAATTTCAATTTCTATGTTGTCTTGGTGGTTAATGATGTTTGTTAAGTGCTAAATCAATTTAGATTAATGAATTTTTTCCAAGTAAATCATTTTCCCAAAGCCATCTTTTTAAATAAAAAAAAAAGAATTTGGGACTCTGTAGAAGTAAAGAAGAGGGGGAGGGGAGGGGGGTTTGGGAATACGGAGGAGAATGGTTGAAAAAAATCAAGCTTTGTTGGGGAAATGGCTATGGCAATGGCCACTGGAAAGCGAGAGGTCTTGGCATGAAGTGGTGGAAAGCATTCATGAGAGTTCGGAAAGTGGGTGGGATGCTGGTGTCTCAAGGCAGGTTAGCTTGGCAGCACCTTGGAAGGCCATTAACAACACCCTTCCCCATTTTCTCAGGTTCGTCGGGTATGAAGTGTGCTCTGGTAATGCTGTCCGGTTTTGGGAAGATATTTGGATCAGAAACACCCCTCTAAAGGACCTTTTCCCTTTGTTATTTTCTGTTTCATTGTATAAAAAAGAGGTGGTCTCAAAATTTATCTCATCTTCGAGAACACCTAATGGCTCCTACTTGGGATTTCGGTTTTCATAGGGGATTAAGGGATGAGGAAATTGACTCCCTCTCTGACTTGCTTTGTTTTCTTAATCAGGTTTGCTTAGATCCCTCCAAGCCAGACAAAGGGTGTGGACCCCTAAACCCAAAGGGACCTTTACTTGTGCTTCTTACTTCAAATCCATTTCTCAATCCTCTGTCCAACAACCTTTTCCCTCAAGAAATTTGGTGCAGGCCAGTTCCTCCAAAGATTATGGATTTTTGTTGGGAAGTGTATTATGGGAAAGTAAACACTCTAGATAACCTACTAAAGTGAAGACCTTTCCTTTGTATTTCTCCCAACTGGTGTACCCTCGGTAGAGCTCATGGGGAGGATTGTTTTCATCTACTAAATACTAATATCTTGTCCATTCTTTGCAGACTTGTGGGCTTGACTACTCTCGGTGTTTGGGGGTAATTGGAGCTTGCCAGCAGAATTCCGCATCATCTTTAAACGGGCTACTTTCCCTTGGCCAACAAAAAGAGAGAGAATTATGTGGAGATGTGCTCGAGCCGCATTGATTTGGGCTCAGCTGTGATTTATGTAATTTATTACTGGTTTACTTGTGAGCTATTGGGAGAGGCTGCAGCTCGTGCCTCTCCATGGGATGTTGTGTGAAATTACAATTCTAAATCAGTTTCTGAATTAATAAAATTTCTATCGTTCATCAAAAAAAAAAATGGGGGATTTGGGTCCCTGATGGGAAACCCGACTCCATTGGGAATCAGGGATTTCATTTTTCTCCTCAATTGGGATCAGAAACATGGATGGGGAATTACTTAGAAATTGGGGATGGGAAATATGGTCCTTGCCCCGTTGCCATTCCTAGTGGTCACTCTCAGACTCAGGCCTGTGTTTTCACGCTTGCCAGCCTGATGTTTTAGCATTACACCAAGTTATTGGTTGTAACTATCACTGAAAAGAATTTATCAAAAAAACACTATCACTGAAAAGAAAAACAATGAGGTAACTGCTAAAAAGATCATTGTGAAGTGTTAAGGGATAGATTTCTGTGTCTTAAACAAATACTGTACGAACCATTTCATCATTCAGAACCAAGTAGATGGCTCATCAATCAGATATCTAATTGATGGTAGAATAAGAGAGGTGAATTTTACAATCTGCATCTAGTGGGTAGTTATTATTATCAGATATTTAACATCCTGTTGGACTGTCAAGAAGAGTTGCCTGCAAGATTAGGATATTTCTATTGTGTGCTTTTGGGACCAAAATCCATTGACTAGGTCGTTCATATAGACGGGACACCCGACCAACTTGCAAATGGAGATGAGTTATCAAGCACAACATTCCACAGGTAATAAGATCTAGTCAGATGTTTCTGGTGTTCCCAGGAGCAAAAAAATAGTTATTATTAATATCATCATCATTATTTTGGTTCATGGAACACCAAACATTGCCTGTTAAGCATTCCCTGGGTGTCCTCTTCAACAAGCATGCCATTTAATTAATTAATTCACTGATATGTAGTCTACTGTCTAGCAATTCTGTCTATCACTATTTAAAAGATAGATTATAAAACATTCAGCAATAGGATACCCTACCTCAAGTTTTTCCTGGCGTTCTGCAAGCTTCTGTCTTGCTTGTGTTGCTACTTTGGAGACATCCTGGAACAGGTTACTGTGCCAATCAGCAAAATCCATACAAATATGATTTGTGTAAATAAAACTTTTTATCTGAAATTACCCCTGTCTTTCTATATGTTGCAATGATTTCTTCAGGTGTTTTTAGTCTTGGCTTTATATCAACTGTTGCACCTTCGAACAGTTTCTCCCTCTCTGTCTCTTTCTCTGCAGTATCGAATGAGGACTATTATGACCATTAAGAAATTTGAACACATTTAAAAGAAGTTTGAAATGTTTGATGTACCTTTTCTGTCATTTCTGCCTTTATGAGATGAAGTGGATGCAACAGGTATTGGTTCATCAATTTCAATATCATCTGTACCAAGAGAAAAAATATAGGATGAGTAAGAAACGGATTGGGAAACAAAGTTAAGATGGGGATAGTAGAAAACCTATGCTGAGCTCCACTTCTTGATGATCTTCAGTGGTTGTGAATGGTTCCGAAAATGGAAGCCTTGAAAACATGGTTTCTAGATTCGCAGTAATGTTATAACTAGCAAGGTTTTCATTAAAATCTTCAGTATTTGCCGTTTTTCCTCCTTTAAAGCCCTTGATGATACCACCCAGAATACTAGGGGCAGTAATCTACAATAGAAATAATTTTCTTATTATTATTAGCAGAAATAGGAATAAAAACAGAAGCAAAATACTGGAATTTTCACAAACATGCATGCATTTAAGGGAACCTGCTTTTTCTTCTGATTTGAGGAGAAGCCAATGGCAGCATTGGCAGCAGCTGCAAGAGTTTTATCATGAAGGCAAGGCAAAGACTCTGGAATCCTAAAAGAATCAACATGTACTAGTTAAATTAGTATCACTTTACAATGATTTTGAAACTGCAAGTATATCATGGTTTGATGCCTAAACAACATAGAATAAATAAAGGCACCTGAAGCCATTTTCAGATGCCAGGAAAGAGATGAAAGCAAGTTCGCACCCATTTGCCTACAAAATTCCTTGAACACAAAGTTAGATATCATGACATGAAGCTCTATTTTCCAAATCAAGGGAGTTATAACAAATTGTCATTCATGCATAGATTATGTGCTTAATTCTGAATATCAAGTATGTACTGATATTAGATCACAGTTCTAAGTTCTAACATGATTGCCAAAGAAACTTGAAGAATAGTGGTAACGGAATTAGAAAGACATCATTGAACTTCTTTGTAACAAAAATTAAGAAAATGACAATGGCCTCAAAAACCCATGGACAAGTTGATGGATGATAGTTATGAACCATTGTTTTAGAAAGCATACAAAATTTACACTTTAAAGCTTGCCTGAGTCAAGGCTCAAGAAAAAGGCCTAGAGGCTCCACCTTAAGAGTAGGGCTGTTCATGGGTCGGGCTGGATCGGTTTAGTAGTGTTTTTTCAACCAACCCGACCTGGTCGGGTTACCTATAGACCAAACCAAAACCGACCTGGTCGGTTTGAGTCGGTTTGGGTTTCAACCAACTCCAAGCTTGCACAATGCACATGAAGTCAAAGTGCTAATATTATATATAATATTTCAGAATATATTTTCTGGAAATATATATTTAAAACCAAAACATATATACAAATATATCGAAATATATATTTTCTAATTTCTGGAAATATATATCTGATATATTTCAGAAAATATATTTTTTCAGATATATATTTATTATTTAAAACTAAAATATCTATATTTAACAGATATTTTTTCACATAACTTGGTTCGGTTCGGTATGTGAAAACCGAAACCGAACCAAATTATTGGTTTGTTCATCTTTGCAACCCGAAATCGACCGGTAGTGAAGAAAAACCGGCCAACTCGGGTTGGGTCGGGCCAGGTTGGTCAGTTTGGATTTATTTGTTAACAGCCCTACTTAAGACACAACCCTCACACATTGAGATGCCTTGTTTTGGTATATGTGAATGTGCATATGTGTGTGTCTGTATGCTTATACTATGTTTTTAGCATATCTAAATTCATTTTGTATTATTATTTTAACATTTAGGGCTTAATAATTATGAAATGTTTTATAAGGAAGTAATGGCTTTCCAAAAAGTTCCTAATATTCTTAAGTTGTATATGCGATCATTTATTATATGTTTTTCCTACAGAAACACAATCCATTTATACATATTAATGTAGTTCTTAAAAAAGTAATAATGCCTTGAGGCTTATGCCTCGCTTAATGCCTCAGCAATTTTAACTTCTGGGCCCAGAAGTTAAAATGTAAATAGAGTCAAAATATATTTCCTGGTTAACGATGTATAGACAATGTAGAGTCTTTCAATCTTCCTTGGTGCGTAAAGTAAATAAAAGCCAGCTTCATGTAAACTGGAAAAGAAAAGCCAGCTTCTTGTGAGCATTTTCTGTAATCAGATCTTAATATAATTCTTTACCAGTAGTTAAATGCTTTTCTTATCTTGGATTTCAGAAAGGAATTTTGTTTGCTCAAAACATGAACTAAATCCCCATTCAATGCTTTTAATTTCTTATACAAGAGAGTAATGTTAGATATCGAACAATTTTGAAAGTCAAGGCAGTAGCTAGACAATGACATAATAAAGATAAATATTTCAGCTAACTGTGACAAACAAGAAAGCATGAAAGGTATCAACCAGTGTAATGTTCCCATCACATGAAGAACTCATCATTTTGTCCATGTTTGTCTTGAAGCTCCACCTAAGGATTAACATTAAAGAGGTCACAGTCACGACTTCCAAATCTGGCAAGGACCTGTCCATTGGCAGAACACAACTTGAGATGAACCTATTTCCTAATTACTAACAAGAAGTAATAGAACTAAAATTGCAAATTGTGTCATCAAAACAACTTAAGCCATTGTATCACAAGTCTTATTAAATGTTACCACTGCAAGCTAAGCAAGAAAAAGAAATGCATCATTAGCACTTTACCTTATTTCAATGACTCCGGTCTGATAGACTATAATGAGCCCACACACTTTCTCATCTTTCATGAAAGTTGTACTCCAGCAAATGGGTTTTACAAGATTCACTTTTCGAATGGAATCATTATCCCCCTACATAGAAGCATATTATCATAACTTGAAAAGGAAATACAATAACGTCAAAGATAAATGACCAATAAAACGAAATGACAAATATGCACCTGAACCACAGATTTAATAGTGTAGAGGCACAATGAATCCTCACAACAGAGTAAAAGAAGTGAATCCAATAATCTTTCCCCAAAAAATGTAGATCCAATAGTGGCATGAAGTTCAGCTTCTTCTTGTTTGATTTCCGTTGCAGTATTTTCTTGCACAGGCTCATCCTGACAAAAAGTGCCTTGGGATAACCTTTTTGGGTGGCTATCATGGGAAACTTCAGGGACTAATGTGCTGTCCTCTGGGTGGATCTCAAATATGTATGAATCAGAAACAGAATATAGACATAAAGCATCTGATTACTTTGTAGTTTGTAGAAGAAAATTTTTACTTGCCTATGACATACATGGAAATTGCAGTTGAACCCTTCTTTAGGTGCATTGATTGAGAATTGATCATTTTACCAGWGGCACTGTCAACAACCACAATGTGTGCATCCCTTGTTAAAATGAAAATCACTCCTTTGGTCTCATTTTGATTTTGTGATACTGAGTGTTTTGGGCTGCTTATTATGCTAGGGATTTGTGAAAATAATGCCATAGAAATGATTGCAGAACTTGAGGCAGATATGCAGTCTGTGAGGAACAGAATTGATAATGAATCCATACTGAGCAGTGCAACCTGAAATGAGAACAGTGAATGAGCAAAGCCTTGTCAATATTTAAGAGTCTGGGTTTCTAATTTTGAAAATGCAGGTTTCTTGTCCTACTCCACAATTTTGGCACATGGATATTGAGGTAACAAAAAAAGGGGCAACTCTTTCCCACAATGCCCTCTTTATGTGGAAAGTCTTAGCCAAATAGCCCTTTTCCATGTGGCAAAAACGTCAGTTATTTTACCATAATTTATCATAAAAGCTTCAACAAATTAATGATTATTTGCTGAGCATAGGGAAATATGCTGAGGTATGAGGCTGATGTGGAAAAGGAAGCTATGGCCACTCCAATGTGTCCCTTCATCTGACGGGACAGTTTGGACCTGCTACCTCAACCCCATGTTGTAGAAAATCTTAGCAACTACAGGATTTGAAACCTCTCATAGACTATCAATGATTTTTTTCCTTTGTATAATTTAGACACATTTCCTAGTGACTTGGAAAAAGAACGGATGAAATATATAAAGCCAACCATTAAACAGATAATACCAACCCGACCACATTCATATCCGATGGCAAGTTTGCTTCCAGATTTTTCGTACTGTAGGGTTTGTATAGGAGAATTTAGCACAGAAAATGCTGCCACACATTGAAGCCCTTTCTCTTGATATGTAATATGAACTACTGTGTGACAGATAAGCAGTGTTACGAGATCATAAAAACAACATAGTATATGACTAAAACACAGACAGAATAAGCTAGATGTACTAGTGTCGCACATGAAGTCAATTATGATGTTAACCAAGTAGTATGTATTCTCTGTACCAGAATGGTCAAAGAGTTAAAAAAAGATACTTCAACAGCTTCTAATAAAAATAAGGAAATCCTGGAAGTATGATACTATATATATATGACTACTAAAGAAGTACCTTCATTATTAGTTTCAGTAATAAAGTGAAAACTTGTCTCACTGGAACTCCCACTGGGCTTATAGATGCGAACCTAATATAAGCCAAAAATGACATCAGACACTGGAGAAAGAAATATAACCGTTAATATTAGCATAAGATTCAACTCAAGGTCAAAAGAAATAGCCAGTAAAAGTTGGGCTGCAAACAGATTGAATCAAATTGGATATTGCCTAGATCCAAATTTGATTCATTAATATTCAGATTCAAGTCAAATCTTATCTGTTGGGTTTAGTTTGGATTTGGATTAAACAGATATTGAATACCACTAATAAATTAATTTAAAAATGATAAAAATATTATACATTATTAATAAAATGGACCAAAAATCACTTTGATATTGTTTAACATGAATGAAACTAATTGAAAAAAAAACTTTTATAAGACTTAAACTTATGACTCTTTAGTAAACATACAATCGGATTGGGGTGGATCCATGTTCAATCAAATGATAAATAGATCAAATCAGGATCATCTTAATCAGATCAAATTTGATTTCCAAACACCATTTGCAACCCAAAAAAAAGGAACTGTTCTGACCAGGCCGCACTCATTGCCAATAGAGAAACTTGCAGTGAGGGAGCAAAAATCCAAAGCCGTCACTGAAGTTCTTGCACCAGTCACTTTGATCCCTTGCACCTGCCAATCATTTTATATATGACATTGATATCAAATACCACTTGTTCCAATTAGTAGTTAGTATGTGGTTGATGAACATTATTCGAAGTAAAAAACAGGGAATAATCAAAAGAAAATTGATTCCATGAATTGTTTGTAATAGAACTCTGACCTCGCCTTCTATAACATATAAAAGTGACAGGACTGGATATGTGGCATCCCATATTCTAACAGATCCATCCTGATAACCTGCTACATATACTCTCTCAACCTCTTTATCTTCACTAAATGATAACGGACTATGAGTACCACCACTCACAGGCCACTTGGTACCCACAGTTACAGGAGCTGTTGCTCTAGCTTTCATAACTGAGGCCATCTACATGCAAAATAAATAAATAAGAAGGCCAGAAGAAAGCAAAGAATTGAAACCAAGTTTTTGATTCTAGTGTGATAGGAATGCAATACCTCTAAGAGAGCCTTTGATGAATTCCCACCTCTAGGTAATAAACTGAGCTTTGCCACAGTCATGCATGGATCAACAGTAGGTACTGCCACAGGAAATTGTATTGCAGGAATAGGTGTCTTTTTGTCCTTCTGAGATGTTGAAGACAAGCTAGAATCATCATATACATGCAATTGTCCAGGGTTTGTCAACACAAAAAGAGCAGCAGTATGATTATTCTCTCTTGCCCCAGCATGCGGTATTAATATCATGTCAGCAAAAGAGCCATTAAGTGTAAGATCCAGACGAGCAACACATTTTACAGTCTCTATCCCGGATGACCATTCAAGACTTAATATCTGCAACAGATAAAAGAATATGTCCATTCACCATTGCACCTTTCCATGATTTGATGATAAAATAACATCAAACCAAAAAAAAAAAAAAACAGTAAATAATTTCTTGTCCACTCTTTGCATTGCAAGGTCCCCGGTAAAACAATGTAAATATATATATATATATATATATATATATATATATATATATATATATATTGAGAAAAGAAAAGTATTTATTATATTATATAATATAAAGTTACAAACTTTACAGATATACATCCACCCAAGTACATTGAGATTCTCTACATGGTATCTCAATAAAAAAGTAAGGGTTAATTACTAAAATACCCTGTAGTTTCCGAAACTACTTAAATATGTCTTGTTAGATGGTCCCACTCGACACAAATAGGCCCTCCATTAGTGAAACATTTAGAGCTGTTTACATGTGATATCATGTGCCTATTACATTTTATCATAATTCCAGTTTTACCCCTCCATGGTCAAAGATATTCTTCCTCTGACCCATACCTCAGAACATCACTGATTACCCCTCCTCTCTTTTTTTTTTTTGATCAATGAGATAATATTTTATTAGAGTTAGAACAGAAAATTACAACAGGGTGAGTGTTGTTTTCCAAATTACAGTTTACAGTTCAGCCCAAAACAATTGGGGCCTCTTAGCCCCTTGTTTAGCTAGAGTATCTTCCATCCCATTTGCTGTTCTTCTCATCCATTTGAAAGTAACATTCAACTCCCTTACAATGCTCACAATCTCCCTAAAAGTATGCCTATAGATCCATGGGATTTGGGTGCTACATCTTGTCCAAGCAATGACCACTTGAGATTCCCCTTCCACTTCCAAATTAAGGAACCCAAAGTACCTACCAAATCTTAATCCCCGCAGGAGTCCAATTAGCTCTGCAGTCAGTGCGTCCCCATTTTCTAGAGGCCCTGAATACAAAGCTAACACCTTTCCTCCTGAATCTCTGAAGACACCTCCTATCCCAACTACATTTTGGTTACCAAGGAAACTCCAAACGAAATTCAGCTTCACAAAATTTGTTTCTGGGGGTCTCCACTCCATAAAAAACTTTTCTTTTCCTTGGGCTGATACAGCCACTTCCTTCCAAGTTCTGAGGATGTCATTCAAAGAGAAGACTTCGAAGTCTTCCAGAGTTTTTACCAAGTGAGCAGTTTTTAACTTTATTGTTTCAAAAATTTCCATCTCTGATCAGCTTTTTTCATTGAAAATTCTTCCATTTCTCTCTTCCCAAATAGTCCAAACCAAGGCAGCCCCCGCTGTTTTCCATAATAATCTTCCTCTTTGTTTTGGTTGACTCATGAAAGCTAGGGCCAAAAAGGCCCACCACCTCCTGTGGGGGATTCCACCTGCACCCAAGAAGAGAACAAAGATGCTCCAAAATGCAAAGCACAAAAGGGCAGAATAGAAAGATATGGGAAACAGTTTCACCATTGCATTTACATAGGCTGCACACATGAGGGGAAAGGCACTTATTTGGCCTTCCTTTCTGCATCATATCACAAGTGTTTTATCTTTCCAAGGAAGACTTCCCAACAAAAAGTCTGAATCTTAGGAGGGATTGGCTTACTCCAAATTTCTTTCACCGGGAACATTGCCCGAAAGGTAGCTAGCTGAGTTAAGAAGTTAAAGAAGGAAGCACAAGTAAAAAGACCATTGGGGGAGATCGACCATACCCTGGTATCCTCAACAATTTGATCCAAAAAAACCAAGTCATGTCTGGCCAAAAGAGAGATGAGAGACTCACATTCCGAATCCCTAAGACCGCTTCTGAACCCAAAGTCCCAATTTAAACCCGAAGTTGAAAAGCTCACAAACTTAGAAATAGGTTCAGATTTGTAATTGGAAAGTGCATAGAGCAACGGAAATTGGATTAATGGATGTTTACCTATCCAAAGATCCTCCCTAAGCAAGACTCTTTGGCCATTTCCCACATCATACCGAATGATCTAAGACCATTTGGTGAATTGGGAACAAGTTAGTAGGCCTAAAGAGAAGGGTGAGCTTGGGCTAGGAGACTTRGTCCAAAAGAACTTAGCTCTCCTAAGAAAGTGGTTATGGAGGTTTCCCCTAGAAAGCGATAGGCTCTGGCACAAGGTCATTGCTAGCATACATGGTATTTCAGACAATGGCTGGGACTCAAAGGTCGCACTTTCCACAAATTCAACATCTCCTTGGAAAGCAATTTATGAGGTCTGTCCTTTCTTCCTTGGAAAGCAATTTGGCTTAAGATGAAATGTGCCACATGTTGAGAGGAATAAATAGGCCTTTGGGAATACTTGATTTATATCTCCAAAAGCAAAGATAGGTGCATACTTATATGCTAAATGTCCACTTTGTCATTTTGAAAAGATAAGAAGCATTGCAACAGCAGTTGCTGTAAAACTTTCAGTTTGAAATTTCTTTACTCAATCTACAAAGTGGTTACATGAATAATTGTTCTAACCTTCATGTAATAAAGATGTATAGGGAAATGGTGTCAGCTTAAATATATCAAGAAATAGAAGAATAGTTAAAAATTCATGTTGAATGAATGGACATGTATATATAGATTACTAAAATTCACAATTCGAATATTAAAGAGCTAACAACGCACTGTCAGTACTTCTTCAGACCCTATTTCATCACCACCATAAATGAAAAGATGGCCTGCATTATCATGTAACCCACTCCTTGGAGACCACTGCAAGACAATAACAGGGAGTCTTCTCTTGCTTGAACATAACTGTAGCTTAACAACATTATTTGATGATGTTCCAGCTTGTGGACTTTTGGCAGAAGAAGCACTTGATGTGTTCCATAACATAATATCTCCATCTACATATCCCACAGCAAGAACAGACCCATTAGTAGATGCCCAACAATGAGAGCTTATCTCTTTTTCCTCTTGTTCATGGTTAGATGTATCATCTGTAAATTCATTATCTGCTCCAGTTGGAAAATTAACAACTCCCTCATCCTTTAATTGGAGATCCTCATAACCTCTAACAAGAACAACACGATTTTCACAAACATCCCAGAGAATAAGCAGCCCATGTTCATATGCAATAAGCACCCTGCAGATGAACAATAGCTTTTAAAATACATTTTTAATAGGAGAGGTAAAAGGAAGCATTTGAAATAGCTGCCATCAGTTTCAAGAATGACCACTTTCCATTGTTCATTTCCCCTCCTGAAACATTTTAAATTTATGAATACCTTAACTAGCATTCCCAAAAAAAGAATACTTTAACTAGCACCATGGCCCCATATTTCAATATTTTATATGACTACAAAGAAAAATGAATATGTGTCGCATCATAAAAAAGAATGCAGCTATTTATAACCAAACTCTCATATAAAATAAAAGGCAAAATAAATTGGAATAATATCTGAACCACATCTCTGATAGCAGTTTTGTTTATTTTCCTTGTATTCTTTGTAGATATGGTAATTTGTAATGAAATGAGAAATTTTACATTTTTTTTATCAATAACGGAATTTCATTAGAAATATTTAAAAAGTACAAAATAGGGAGAGGCAAACTTTCTTAACTTTCCACAGACAAAAAAGCTATACAATTGAGCCAAAAACAAAGTACCAAAAATGTTTTCTACAACTTGACAATATGGCTAAYATTTCATAATTCCTACAATATTAATATACAGAGCTTTCAAATTTCCAAGATGTTTCCCTTTTGTTGTTTTATTAATAACTGGTTAGGAAAACTTTATTAAATGATCAAAACATAAAGATGATTACTTTCAAGTGGCAGACACTTTCACCAAAAGGGGTTTTTTAAGCCTTGTCTTGATTATGTTTTGGGGGTTAAAAGACCTTGAAGGCCTAGACAGAGAAACTGTTTTAATCATGGGATATGAATGCATTGGAAACTGTTGATAATACTGCATAGGGTCCTCTTTTCGGGTTGAGTTGCAATTTTTTTTTGGTTTAAGGTTGAACTTGATACAGGCTTTAGGATATGAAAGGGTGGAGATAGAAGGTAAACTGCAGGTTGTGATTGGCTGGATGAGGGATGGAGTGGACTTTTGGATGGACTTGGTTTCTTTGCCATCAATTTAGAGAGGCAAGAGATCTAGAAACAACAGAGAATTTTTTTTTTTATTCTGAATACAGAGATCTGATAATGAGCAAGCATATTCTCCAGCTAGAAGTGATGTGGGATGAATTGAATTATTATGGGGCCTATCCATTTCACGTAATATGAGAACTCACAATATTGTTCATGTGACAAAGATCTTTTCAAGGCTAAAACTCAGCTTGGCAG